CTGCGAATGAGGTAAATGTGCTCTATGATTTTACAGAAAACTGCCTGATAGTAAAGATTATTGGGAACGAGGATTAAAACTCCTTCTGTGAGTTTTTCCAAGGAGCAGATTCAAATTTTTAGCCTTTCTGAGTTCACGGTTGTAAGCACGCCGACACAACAAATACGACACACACAACCACACACACACCCACACACCACCACACACACACACAACCACACACAAAAAAGAGGAGCCGGACTCGACCAGCAACCTCAACTAGGTGAGTAAAACACACCATACACACACACCCCAAAACCCACACACAAAAACCCACACACCACCAAAACCACACACACACACACACAACACACACACCACACCCCCAACACACACACACACCAGACCACCACGGAGACACACCCCGCAGGGTACAGAAGGGGGCAGACGCCCACCCTCACCCCTTGCATGGGACGAAGTTTTGTCAGTGTTTGGGGCTGCAACTAGCTTGACAGTCTTCCAGTACCCACACAAATTAATGACAAATTTTGATAAAAGGGGAAGACTTTTTTGCTTTAGCCAGAAAGGCAGATATGCAACTTTCCTTTCACTAATTATGAACTTGTGCAGCACTAACTAAGGGCAATCCACGCGCCTGGTGAGGATGGTAAAATTACAACATCTCAGGTTCCCTGTGCAGTCCCAGGTAACCCTTTACTTAATTTATAACTAAGTTATGCCCACTGGGGAGCTCCCTAAATCATGGCCCCAAATAGTCTTATCCCCTTTCCGAAGCCCCAAACAACAAAACCATTTGGGCCAAATTTCCCCTTACTAGCTCTTGTTAAAACATTCAAAGGGTGATTTTTAATCGTTTATCACAAAATTTAAAGGAATTCTTGTCCCCCCCGGTTGCAGGTTCTCTGGAAGGAGTTGCTCATTGCTTTACCACCTTTCTCACTCTGCACACTGACAGCTCTCACTAGTTCCTTGACCAAAATCCGTTTTTGAGTACCAACCCGTAATCATTTATAACTTGCCAAATGGATGTTGGAGGATGGTTTCTCCCGCTGGAAAAAAGGGTTACCTGCCCAACGAAAGTCGCTGTGTTTTTCCGGGGGACTAGAAGTGTAACTAAAGTTTTTTGAATTAGGAACCCCACGGGGAGGTGTTTTAGTCCCACCCTTTTAAACTTTTTGATTAAGCCTTACTTAATGCCTCCTACCAGCCCCATCTTATAGGGTTTAGTTTTGGATAATAAGTTTTCAAAACCACCGGATTCTCCAACACCCAAAACATTCTTAATCATGTACTAGCCTCGTGTCGGACTGGGTTAAAACTCGGGGAATAAAACAAAGATACTCAACAGGCTCCTCCTGGGCAGAGGGGCACAGTTCGTCAGACCCCGTTGCATGAGGGGTTTCCTTCTAAAAATATGTAAGCAGATACAGGATCTGGGTTTTGAGTTCCCTACTGGACCGTTGTAACGAGACTTTGTCCCCAAATACAAAAAGGCTGAGAGACTTAGAGTTGTGGCTGGTTTTCATCCAGGTAGGTTAATTTTAAAATTGTGAAAAGGGGTACTTGCTTATTTAAAATCTTGGTTGTTTAGCGGCGCCACTACTTGCCCTTGCTGGGGAAGTTGGGGGGCGGAAAAAACTGCAAAACGAAGCAATGAGGATATCCTAGGTGCCCCCGTACGCCAAAATTTTAAAATGCGGGAAAAGAACTTAATTTCCAAACTTAGAAGGGGTTACTGAAAGAAATATCCTTTTTGGGGCTTTTGCTTTTGGGGGTAGCCCACAAAACCCCCCCAGAACCCTCCAAACTTTTCTCAAAAACCCGGGGAACATCCTTCCCGATGGGTCGAAAAAACTGGAACCCCCTCCGCGAAAACCCGCTACATGATCAACAAGTTAGACAACAGAGACATTTTTCCCCGTTCCATGGGGTATTTTCCCCTTTTTAAACACCATTCCGCCCTTTCCCCCAAAACTCTTCTTAAATCCAACCAAGCTCGCTTGAAACCAAACATGATCCTTTGGTTTTTGATAAAATTAGTCAACAGAACACCCTTTTAAAATTATTTAGTCATGGTTCTAACCTCCATGTCGCGGTGTGCTGCTGTTGCACACAGAGGAGGGTCTCAATAGAAAATTTGGGGCACGCATCAAAACTGGGCCTCTACCCTTTTTAAACAGAACTGTTTGCCCTATCCTTTCCCAAAAGTGTCCTGTATCTAAGGTTGCACTTTAATTTTAACTGATTCTTTCTCCCTATAAATGCCCCTCAACTCATTAAGTATAAAATTTTGGAGTTGTGTCAGAACCGACATAGATATGGAAGTTGTGGCAGTGGGTCAGAGTGCACATCTGTGGATTCCTCTACTTGGGCTTCAGATGCATGATAAAACTGATAAAAAGGCTAAGCTGTATGCTTTAAAGAGGGGTAATTACAACTTTGGGGGTTTTCAGTTGCAGTTTGAGAAAATAATCGAAAGAATTAAATGAACTTTTTTTGACTTAAGACTTAGGGGATTTACACAAATCAGTCCATCTATCATCATTCCATCAGGGCAGGGGGAGCCACAGTCTATGGTGCATCCAACAAGATAAGCAGACTCTTGGATGTCACTACTGCCCGGCTCCGGCTGGGTTACAAGTATCTTTGGCAGGTTAAATCACCACCACCAGATGTAAAACCAAAACGAAATGTAAACTTTGCCAGATGGACTATTGTCACACCTTGCGTCATTATGTACTGGAGTGTGATCAAATTAATGAATTTAGAAACAACTCAACTCAGAAATGTTAAGAAATGGCAAAGTTTTTTATCCTCATGGTATATTGCAGACCATTCTGGAGAAATACCCTGACTTTGCTAGCTGTAAATAAGCATTACCACATGTGTGCATGGGGTGTGTGTGTGTTAGTTACCATTTTGTCCTAGGCACATGTCGATTAGACACTAGGCCTGTTGTGGTGTGTGTGGTGGGGTTTTGGGGTTGTGTGTGTGTGTGTGTGGGTGTGTGTGTGTGTGTGTGTGTGGTGTGTGTGTGTGTGTGTGCGTTGTGTGTGCGTGTGTTTTGGGTCTGTGTGGGTGTGTGTGGGTGTGTTGAGGTGTGTGTGAGGGGGTGTGTGGAGGGTGTGTATGTGTGTGTGGGTGGTGTGGTGTGTGTGTGTGTGGTGTTGTGTGTGTGGGGTGTGGTGTGTGTGGTGTGTGTGTGGTGTGTGGTGTGTGTTGGTGTGTGTGGGTGTGTGTGTGTGTGTGTGTGTGTGTGTGTGTGTGTGTGGTTTTTGTGGTGTGTGTGTGTGTGTGTGTGGTGTGTGTGTGTGTGTGTGTGTGTGGTGTGTGTGTGTGTGTGGTGTGTTGTGTGTGGTGTGGTGTGTGTGGTGTGTGTTTTGTGGTGTTGTGTGGTGTGTGTGTGGTGTGTGTGTGTGTGTGTGTGTGTGTGTGTGTGTGTTTTGTGTGTGTGTTTTGTGGTGGGTGGTGTGTGTGGGGTGTGTGGGTGTTTGTGTGGGTGTGTGTGTGTGTGTGTGTGTATGT